CCTGAACCCATGTTGGTGGTGCGTTACAAAGTTATTTCCCTCCAGGTGCTCTACGAGCCTTTTCCTCACGATCTTCTCCATCACCTTGCATGGTATACAAGTTAAGGAAACTGGTCTGTAGTTCAGTGCCTCTTGCCTGTCACCCTTCTTGTATATTGGGACCACGTTAGCTGTCTTCCAACTTTCTGGTAAGTCTCCTGTTTCCAGTGACCTGTTATACACCATAGAGAGTGGCACGCTTGGTGCTTCTGCACCTTCCTTTATTATCCATGGTGAGATTGTCAGGCTCAACAGCCTTTGTCACATCCAGCTCCAGCAGATACCTTTTGACCTCATCACTGGTGAGGTCAAATTCCTCCAAGGTTGCTTGGTTTGCCGCCTCCTCATTTAGTGCAGGGGCTTCTCCTTGTTCTATTGTGAAGACCTCCTGGAATCTCTTGTCGAGTTCTTCACACCTTGTCATTCTCTGTTCTCCCCTTTTCGCAGCTTCATCACTTGTTCCTTCACTGCTGTTTTCCTCTTGATGTGGCTGTGGAGCAGCTTTGGTTGGGTCTTGGCTTTACTCGCGATGTCATTTTCAAACTGTCTCTCTGCTTCCCTCCTCACTCTTTTACGAAAGACTTGGGTAAATACTGGTTCGGTAACAGGGTTGTTGATTTGTGGAACCAATTACCGCGTAATGTGGTGGTGGGATCCCTCGATTGTTTCAAGCGTGAGTGGACATGTATACGAGTGGGATTGGTGGTTATAGATAGGAGCTGCCTCGTATGGGCCAATAGGCCTTCTGCCAGTTGCCTTTGTTTTTATGTTTTTATGTTCTTATGCTTATTTTATTTCTTAGACTTCTAGTGTTAGTGTATATACCCTAAGTGAATTGTTATTTTGAGGCCCTTCTCTTTCCCTGATCATTTTGCCAATTCTTTTCTCCCACAAACACATACTTTTATTACTTCCTTCCTCCAGATCAATTCCCAAACCACTATCTACTAGCAGTTACCTTTGTTCTTATATTCTTATGTTTGTTAGCATTGTAAATGTGTGGCCACGTTTGAGGTAGAAAAAATAATAAAAAAATAAAAAATAATAAAAATAAAACAAGTTTGGTGGCTTTGAGGTTCGGCCAGGCATAACTGTATCTGAATGTTGACGTTAAAATGTGAATGCAAACAAGGTGAACATTACATTTTTTAATTCTGTGTCAAAATATTTCAACTTTTGATGTGGTACATCGAATGGTACAGTAAACGCTCGTAAAACTGATATTTATGACATTTTGTGGGGGGGGGGAGGGGGGGGATTAGGTGTTATATTGACCCCAACTAGTGATTGCGGGCTCCGTCTTTGTCCTGAACAAGATGTAAATAATTATTCATAGTTTGTTTACATTGCAGTAGTTATGCAGACGATGAGTCACAATAACGTGGCTGAAAATATGATGACCAAACCAACAGAAGATGAAGAGACGACGACGTTTCGGTGTGTCCTGGACCATTATGAAGTCGATAGTCGACGGGCCGAAACGTCGTCGTTCTCATTTTCTGGCGTGTGGTGTGGTCGTCAAAGCAGGATCAGCCAAGGTGTGTAATTCCATGTAAACCTATACCTGCAGGTACATGTGCACGGGAACAAGGTGGCGGGCATACACAAGTACGTACCCCAGGCGATGTTGCCCACAGAGTACGGAGGGACAGGCGGGTCGGTGGCCGAGATCGCTGGTGAGTAACATTGTCTTAAGTGGATAACAAAGGTTGTTGTTGTTTAAGATTCAGCTACTGGGAACAAAAAGTTCCAAGTAGCACGGGCTATGGTGAGCCGTAGTGGACTTACCTGACACAGGAGCAGGGCTGTAACTTTGGTGAGGGATAACAAAATCTGAAGAACCTTTTTGGTAAAAGAGAGCGTGGTACCAAAAAATTAAGAATGGTTAAGTCAGTTTAGAACAGGAATTCGTACAACTGGTTAGAAATGTTAAAAGAGAGATGAGGGCAAAAAGAAAATTATGAAGTTCGCATAGCAGGGGCAAGCAAAGACAAATCCTAAAATTTTTTCAGTTATATCGAGCAAAGAATAGGGAAAGGATAGGTCCATTAAAACTGAGACAGGTAAGCTAATGGATAATGACAGAGATGAGTAGTATTTTTAATAAATATTTTGTCTCTGTATTTACTAAAGAGGAACATAACAATATGCTTTCAGCCGAACAAGTCTATGTGGGTGGGGACGAGGACAGGTTGACTAGTTTAGCAGTTACTAGGGAGGATGTAATTAAACAAAAAGTAAAACTCAAACCAAACAAATGCCCAGGGCCGGATGTGTTTGCCAGGGTGCTTAAAGAATGCAAAGAGGAGCTTTGCGAGCCATTGTCTACCATATTTAATAATATTTAATCATAGTTAATCTACCATATTTAATCGAGTCAGTCAGGTGCAGTCAGTGAAAGGTTGTGTTAGCTGGAGCTCCGATTGTAGTAACATTATTAAAGCAATAATGGAAGGATTAGTGAAGGAATTGATGAATCTAGTTGGAACTCTGAGAGCAGAGATGGATTCCCTACGGGAGGAGGTACGACAGCTGTAGCATCGAGAAGAAACAAAGGAGACCAATATTAATAAGACCTCGTCGTGGACAGGGGTCTTAAGAAGACCTTGACAAGGCCGCCTACAGATGCCCTAAGGACTTCAAATTCATTTGCCGTGATGGAAGACGAGTGCTGTGGTGAGCCTACAGTTCACTCGAAAAGGAAATCAACGAAGCACAGGCTTCTCAAAGTGCTTAAAAAGTTAAGGAGGCACCTAAGCGAATTTTGGTTGTGGGAGATTCCCAGGTGAGGTATTTAGACAGGACGTCTTGTGCCAGAGATAGGAGGAACAGGTTAAGGGTTTGCTATCCCTTTTGCCAAGCTATTTGCTTGGCAGATGCAGTTTAATGCAGATAAATGTAAAGTTCTGAGGCTAGGTAATGATGATAAAGTTACAAGATACGAGCTAGATGGTGTATCTGTGGGAAAGTTACTTGGATCGATAATTGCAAATAAATTCGTCTTCATCTTGAAAAACATAAATTAATAATTGTGTCGCAACATGGTTTTATATTTGTGTCAATTGCCGGCTGGAAAGATATTGCAAATCAAATGCAATATCTTTCATAGACAACTGGGAACACTTCTATGGAAGAAATGAAATGTATGCTCGTGATGGGGTGCATCTATCGAGAGCTGGGGTTGTTGCTGTTGCGAACTCATTGGAAGAAGTGGTTAGAGGCGTTTGTTTGGGTTTAAACTGTTAGTAGATAGAGGTATGGGAATTGATTTGGAGGAAGGAGGTAATAAAAGTATGTGTTTGTGGGTGAAAGGAATCGGCAAAATGATCAGGGAAAGAGAAGGGCCTCAAAATAACAATTCACTTAGGGTATATTACACTAACAGTAGAAGTCTAAGAAATAAAATTAACGAATTAAATGCTCTTGTCTGCACAGAAAAAATAGATATTATTGCACTTACCGGAACGTGGATGAATGTAGAAAATAGAGAACTATTAGCTGAATATCAAATAAATGGATTTAAACTATTTCACACAGATAGATATATTAGACGAGGAGGGGGAGTAGCCATATATGTTAGGGACAATTTGAAATGTAGTCTCAAAGAGGGAATCAAAACTGAGCCACACACACAAACTATTTGGATAGAATTATACGAAAAAGCAAATATTATAATAGGAGTTATATATAGGCCACCAAATTTAGACAGAATGGTAAGGATTGCGATGTTGTATACCTTGACTTTAGCAAAGCTTTGATACAGTGCCACATGAAAGACTGATTAAAAAGATAGTCTCATGGTATTGGGGGTGCTATATTAAGCTGGATTAGGGCATGGCTATACCAAAGGAAACAGAGTTAGTATAAATGGAGTCAAGTCAGAGTGGGAAAATGTTGTAAGTGGGGTGCCTCAGGGCTCTGTCCTGGGACCTCTGTTGTTTATAATATATATAAATGATTAGATTCAGGTTTGAGTAGCAACATTTGCAAATTTGCCGATGATACGAAAATCGGTAGGGAAATTAATTCGGAGGAGGACTCACTATCACTTCAAGTTGATCTAGATAGGGTTTTGAAATGGTCAAAGGATTGGCAGATGCAGTTTAATGCTGATAAATGTAAAGTTCTGAGGTTAGGTAATGATGATAGAGTTACAAGATACGAGCTAGATGGTGTTGTGATTGCGAAGTCGGATTGCGAAAGGGATCTGGGAGTTATGATTAGTAAGAATTTAAAACAAAAAGATCAATGCATAAATGTTCGTAATAAGGCAAATCGGACACTTGGATTTATTAATCGCAGCGTTAGTAACAAGACACCTGGTGTGGTTCTCAAGCTATATCTTGCTCTAGTTAGGCCCCATTTAGATTATGCAGTTCAGTTTTGGTCGCCATATTATAGAATGGATATAAATTCACTTGAACGTGTCCAGCGTAGGATGACTAAGTTAATTCCCCAAATTAGAAATCTTTCATATGAAGAAAGATTAACAAAGCTTAAGTTGCATTCACTGGAAAGGCGAAGAGTTAGGGGTGACATGATAGAGGTTTACAAGTGGATGAATGACATAACGGGGGGATATTAATAGGGTATTAAAAGTATCAACACAGGACAGAACACGAAACAATGGATATAAATTGGATAAGTTTAGATTTAGGAAAGACTTGGGTAAATACTGGTTCAGTAACAGGGTTGTTGATTTGTGGAACCAATTGCCGCGTAACATTGTGGAGGTGGGGTCCCTCGATTGTTTCAAGCACGGGTTGGACAAGTATATGAGTGGGATTGGGTGGTTATAGAATAGGAGCTGCCTCGTATGGGCCAACAGGCCTTCTGCAGTTGCCTTTGTTCTTATGTTCTTATGTTCTCCTATTCTATAACCACCCAATCCCACTCATATACTTGTCCAACCCGTGCTTGAAACAATCGAGGGACCCCACCTCCACAATGTTACGCGGCAATTGGTTCCACAAATCAACAACCCTGTTACTGAACCAGTATTTTCCCAAGTCTTTCCTAAATCTAAACTTATCCAATTTATATCCATTGTTTCGTGTTCTGTCCTGTGTTGATACTTTTAATACCCTATTAATATCCCCCCGGTTATGTCCATTCATCCACTTGTAAACCTCTATCATGTCACCCCTAACTCTTCGCCTTTCCAGTGAATGCAACTTAAGCTTTGTTAATCTTTCTTCATATGAAAGATTTCTAATTTGGGGAATTAACTTAGTCATCCTACGCTGGACACGTTCAAGTGAATTTATATCCATTCTATAATATAGCGACCAAAACTGAACTGCATAATCTAAATGGGGCCTAACTAGAGCAAGATATAGCTTGAGAACCACACCAGGTGTCTTGTTACTAACGCTGCGATTAATAAATCCAAGTGTCCGATTTGCCTTATTACGAACATTTATGCATTGATCCTTTTGTTTTAAATTCTTACTAATCATAACTCCCAGATCCCTTTCGCAATCCGACTTCGCAATCACAACACCATCTAGCTCGTATCTTGTAACTCTATCATCATTACCTAACCTCAGAACTTTACATTTATCAGCATTAAACTGCATCTGCCAATCCTTTGACCATTTCAAACCCTATCTAGATCAACTTGAAGTGATAGTGAGTCTTCCTCCGAATTAATTTCCCTACCGATTTTCGTATCATCGGCAAATTTGCAAATGTTGCTACTCAAACCTGAATCTAAATCATAAGAACATAAGAACATAAGAACAAAGGTAACTGCAGAAGGCCTATTGGCCCATACGAGGCAGCTCCTATTCTATAACCACCCAATCCCACTCATATACTTGTCCAACCCGTGCTTGAAACAATCGAGGGACCCCACCTCCACAATGTTACGCGGCAATTGGTTGTTATATATATATATATCATTATATATATTATAAACAACAGAGGTCCCAGGACAGAGCCTTGAGGCACTCCACTTACAACATTTTCCCACTCTGACTTGATTCCATTTATACTAACTCTGTTTCCTTTGGTATAGCCATGCCCTAATCCAGCTTAATATAGCACCCCCAATACCATGAGACTCTATCTTTTTAATCAGTCTTTCATGTGGCACTGTATCAAAAGCTTTGCTAAAGTCAAGGTATACAACATCGCAATCCTTACCACTATCAACTGCCTCAACAATGCTAGAATAAAAAGATAACAAATTTGTTAAACATGAACGGCCATTTATAAAACCATGTTGCGACTCAATTATTAATTTATGTTTTTCAAGATGAAGACGAATTTTATTTGCTATTATAGATTCGAGTAACTTTCCCACAATAGACGTTAGGCTAATTGGTCGATAGTTAGACGCAAGTGATCTATCTCCTTTCTTAAAAACTGGTATCACATTAGCAACTTTCCAAAACTCTGGCACTCTGCCTGACTCTATTGATTTATTAAATATGGTTGACAGTGGGTCACAAAGCTCCTCTTTGCATTCTTTAAGCACCCTGGCAAACACTTCATCCGGCCCTGGGGATTTGTTTGGTTTGAGTTTTACTATTTGTTTAAGAACATCCTCCCTGGTAACTGCTAAACTCGTCAACCTGTCCTCGTCCCCACCCACATAGACTTGTTCGGCTGAAGGCATATTGTTAAGTTCCTCTTTAGTAAATACAGATACAAAATATTTATTAAAAATACTACTCATCTCTTCATCACTATCTGTTATTTGACCTGTCTCAGTTTTTAATGGAAAATATAATATAATATAACTTCAATATAACTTCAAGTTGATCTAGATAGGGTTTTGAAATGGTCGAAGGATTGGCAGATGCAGTTTAATGCTGATAAATGTAAAGTTCTGAGGTTAGGTAATGATGATAGGGTTACAAGATACGAGCTAGATGGTGTTGAGATTGCGAAGTCGAATTGCGAAAGGGATCTGGGAGTTATGATTAGTAAGAATTTAAAACAAAAGGATCAATGCATAAATGTTCGTAATAAGGCAAATCGGACACTTGGATTTATTAATCGCAGCGTTAGTAACAAGACACCTGGTGTGGTTCTCAAGCTATATCTCGCTCTAGTTAGGCCCCATTTAGATTATGCAGTTCAGTTTTGGTCGCCATATTATAGAATGGATATAAATTCACTTGAACGTGTCCAGCGTAGGATGACTAAGTTAATTCCCCAAATTAGAAATCTTTCATATGAAGAAAGATTAACAAAGCTTAAGTTGCATTCACTGGAAAGGCGAAGAGTTAGGGGTGACATGATAGAGGTTTACAAGTGGGTGAAGGGACATAACAAAGGGGATATCAATAGGGTATTAAAAGTATCAACACAAGACAGAATACGAAACAATTGGTATAAATTGGATAAGTTTAGATTTAGGAAAGACTTGGGTAAACACTGGTTCAGTAACAGGGTTGTTGATTTGTGGAACCAATTACCGCGTAGCGTGCTGGAGGTGGGGTCCCTCAATTGTTTCAAGCGCGGGTTGGACAAGTATATGAGTGGGATTGGGTGGTTATAAATAGGAGCTGCCTCGTATGGGCCAATAGGCCTTCTGCAGTTGCCTTTGTTCTTATGTTCTTATCATTTATTGTTGTCTCTCTTTGTCGCTGCCTTAATTATTGTTTGTTATTATACATGCTAATGTGGTCCCTTCCCTTCTGAGAGCAGACCGTATAACTGTTCTCTACTCAGTTCCACCCCAGCAGAAGTTGTACTAATGCCGCCCATACCTCCCTCACTCCCTGCTAGCATACTGGCTGCAGAAGATGGACGATCACCGTGCTTGGTTCCTCGAGGACGAGAAACACTGCGCTGATGAGGCCAGACGTCCAGGCAAGCCAAAGACGACGTCCAACATCTTCGGAGAGGTTGACGGATCCTTTAAGAAACTCGACTTCGACTAAATACCTTTATATCGACTAGAAATCTCAGGCCGCCTAACTTTAAGTAAAGCTCAACCCACCAACATTGCTTACATGCAGTATATTTGACATTTTTGTGTTTATTCATCTTGAAAGAGGCCAAGTTATAACTTGTATAGTGAGTTACTCCGTCGTTGGTGAGAGCTAGCTGTCCAAAGAGTTCGTCAGAGTGTTATTCTGGCCATCTGGAAAGTTAGCTGATTTGGCGATCGTGAGTGTTTGCTGATCTGGCGAGCGTGAGTGTGTGTTGTTCTGGCGATCATGAGTGTTTTTCTTCTATCCTCGAGATTTTACTTCTTAATTCTAGTCCCTATTATATATTTGAAGAGAATCTTGGTTCTGTAGCCCTCCTCCCTCTCACAAGGCTCATTCTCTTAGGTATATTCAATTAGAAAATGGTAATGTTACCCAGAATTGCTGTGATGTCCAAGGTTATGAGCCACACGGTACATGGGTGGTTCACGACCCACACTGTACATGGGTGGTTCACGACCCACACTGTACATGGGTGGTTCACGACCCACACTGTACATGGGTGGTTCACGACCCACACTGTACGTGGGTGGTTCACGACCCACACTGTACGTGGGTGGTTCACGACCCACACTGTACGTGGGTGGTTCACGACCCACACTGTACGTGGGTGGTTCACGACCCACACTGTACATGGGTGGTTCACGACCCACACTGTACGTGGGTGGTTCCTGACCCACACTGTACGTGGGTGGTGTACCAAAGCTGTCAGTCGTAATTTCCCCCATTAATAGAGCAGAGAGAAAGTTGGGATATTCTCAAGAATGTCTGGTGAAGCTCTTTACCAGTGCTTCGTGTATCTGCTCTGGTGAAGTGTCTATTGACCCATTATTCAGTTCATAACTGTTAATTATTTATTTAGTTAATTATTGCCAGTGACTGAGATTCTAGCTGATAGGATGTACCTTGGTTTAATTTACTTGTTAAATAAACTCATTTAAGTTGTGATCTGAAGGTATCATTGCCTCTATCATTTCCCCAAATGAATGTTATTTTCTGTCATATGAGAATGTTCAGCTTATTGTAATAATTAATAATCTTCCTTGTTTCTGGCCATGATTTAATTATCATCTAAACTCTTTTGAGTACATTTTGAGTATTATGCTGGTAGCATGTAATTGATAAACATTTGGAGAGTTAACGAACGACTAACGAAATGCTTAATTAATGGTCAATACAGGTGTGTGATAGCGAGTGTCCAACCCGCCCATTCCAATCCGGAAAGGATTGGAATGGTGCTTGTTCAGACCTGTGGGTGCTTGTTTAGAAAAGTGGGTGCTTGTTCAGACCTGTAGGTGCTTGTTCAGACCTGTTGGTGCTTGTTCAGATCTGTGGGTGCTTGTTCAGACCTGTAGGTGTTTGTTCAGACCTGTGGGTGCTTGTTCAGACCAGTGGGTGCTTGTTCAGACCAGTGGGTGCTTGTTTAGACGTGTGGGTGCTTGTTCAGACCAGTGGGTGCTTGTTTAGACGTGTGGGTGCTTGTTTAGACGTGTGGGTGCTTGTTTAGACCTGTGGGTGCTTGTTTATACCAGTGGGTGCTTGTTTATACCAGTGGGTGCTTGTTTTGACCAGTGGGTGCTTGTTCAGACAAGTGGGTGCTTGTTTAGACCTGTGGGTGCTTGTTCAGACCTGTGGGTGCTTGTTTAGACCTGTGGGTGCTTGTTTAGACCAGTGGGTGCTTGTTTAGACCAGTGGGTGCTTGTTTAGACCAGTGGGTGCTTGTTTAGACCAGTGGGTGCTTGTCCAGACCAGTGGGTGCTTGTCCAGACCAGTGGGTGCTTGTTTAGACCAGTGGGTGCTTGTCCAGACCAGTGGGTGCTTGACCAGACCAGTGGGTGCTTGTCCAGACCAGTGGGTGCTTGACCAGACCAGTGGGTGCTTGTCCAGACCAGTGGGTGCTTGTCCAGACCAGTGGGTGCTTGTCCAGACCAGTGGGTGCTTGTCCAGACCAGTGGGTGCTTGTCCAGACCAGTGGGTGCTTGTCCAGACCAGTGGGTGCTTGTCCAGACCAGTGGGTGCTTGTCCAGACCAGTGGGTGCTTGTCCAGACCAGTGGGTGCTTGACCAGACCAGTGGGTGCTTGTTCAGACCAGTGGGTGCTTGTCCAGACCAGTGGGTGCTTGACCAGACCAGTGGGTGCTTGTCCAGACCAGTGGGTGCTTGACCAGACCAGTGGGTGCTTGTTCAGACCAGTGGGTGCTTGTCCAGACCAGTGGGTGCTTGACCAGACCAGTGGGTGCTTGTCCAGACCAGTGGGTGCTTGTTTATACCAGTGGGTGCTTGTTTATACCAGTGGGTGCTTGTTTTGACCAGTGGGTGCTTGTTCAGACCGGTGGGTGCTTGTTTAGACCAGTGGGTGCTTGTTTAGACCTATGGGTGCTTGTTTAGACCTGTGGGTGATTGTTTAGACCTGTGGGTGCTTGTTTAGACCTGTGGGTGCTTGTTTAGACCTGTGGGTGCTTGTTTAGACCTGTGGGTGCTTGTTCAGACCTGTGGGTGCTTGTTCAGACCTGTAGGTGCTTGTTCAGACCTGTGGGTGCGTGTTCAGACCTGTGGGTGCGTGTTCAGACCTGTGGGTGCTTGGTTAGACCTGTGGGTGCTTGTTTAGACCTGTGGGTGCTTGTTTAGACCTGTGGGTGCTTGTTTAGACCTGTGGGTGCTTGTTTAGACCTGTGGGTGCTTGTTTAGACCTGTGGGTGCTTGTTTAGACCTGTGGGTGCTTGTTTAGACCTGTGGGTGCTTGTTTAGACCTGTGGGTGCTTGTTTAGACCTGTGGGTGCTTGTTTAGACCTGTGGGTGCTTGTTTAGACCTGTGGGTGCTTGTTCAGACCTGTGGGTGCTTGTTCAGACCTGTGGGTGCTTGTTCAGACCTGTGGGTGCTTGTTCAGACCTGTGGGTGCTTGTTCAGACCAGTGGGTGCTTGTCCAGACCAGTGGGTGCTTGTCCAGACCAGTGGGTGCTTGTCCAGACCAGTGGGTGCTTGTCCAGACCAGTGGGTGCTTGTCCAGACCAGTGGGTGCTTGTCCAGACCAGTGGGTGCTTGTCCAGACCTGTGGGTGCTTGTTCAGACCAGTGGGTGCTTGTTCAGACCTGTGGGTGCTTGTTCAGACCTGTGGGTGCTTGTTTAGACCTGTGGGTGCTTGTTCAGACCTGTGGGTGCTTGTTTAGACCTGTGGGTGCTTGTTTAGATCAGGGTGCTTGTTCAGATCAGTGGGTGCTTGTTCAGACCTGTGGGTGCTTGTTTACATATGTTTAAACAAGCACCCACAGGTCTGAACAAGCACCCACAGGTCTGAACAAGCACCCACTGGTCTGAACAAGCACCCACTGGTCTGAACAAGCACCCACTGGTCTGAACAAGCACCCACTGGTTTGAACAAGCACCCACTGGTCTGAACAAGCACCCACTGCGGAAATTTGACTCCTGAGCGTGATTTTTTATCCAAATTCTGACTCTCTTCACCTATTTTCAGTTTCAAATTACATTTCATACCGAAAATATGCCAATTACTGTAAACGGCGATGGGTCATATTTTTCCCAAACCCCCCTGCAGTTTTCGAAATGTCTGAAATGTCGGAAATTTGACTCCTGAGCGTGTTTTTTTTTTTTCCGAATTCTGACTCTCTGCACCTATTTTCAGTTTCAAATTACGACTTTTTATACCGAAAATATGCCAATTACTGAAAACGGCGATGGGTCATATTTTGCCCAAACTCCCCTGCAGTTTTCAAAATGTCTGAAATGTCGGAAATTTGACTCCTGAGCGTGTTTTTTTATCCGAATTCTGATTCTCTGCACCTATTTTCAGTTTCAAATTACGACTTTTTATACCGAAAATATGCTAATTACTGAAAACGGCGATGGGCCATATTTTGCCCAAACCCCCCTGCAGTTTTTAAAATGTTTAGCACATCTGTGCTACAGGGCTAAAATTATCCTACTTTCACTATTTATGTTAAGTGACAGTGCAGCTTATTCGTTGACGCGTCACTATTACAGTGTATTGTTGACCAGTGTACAATCACCGAGCGCATATGTTTCACCAAGTATTTCTGTTTTATGTTCTGTGTTCTGCGTTTTTTTCTGTTGCCCTTCGGGCATCTAACTTTCTCCTTTTGTTTTGCCTTCGTCTGTACTTCTGTTATTTCCTAGCATATTTTGCATGTAAAAGTATAAAAAAATTGTATGACAGTAAGGAAATGTACTTATTACACTTAGTATTAAACCTTACTGTCAATTCGGAGGATGGGTTGCAGCCATAGTAATTGAAAACTAGCAACATTTGGCAACTATGTCGAGTGTCTTACGCAATAACGCCAACTCGTGCTTCAGTCCTCATTATATCATGTTATTCTCCTCTCCTAACGTAACACAACAGAGAACCTAGAACACAACAGAGAACCTAGAACACAACAGAGAACCTAGAACACAACAGTGAACCTAGAATAGAGAACCAAGAATAGAAGAGAGAACAGAACAGAACATTGAACTGAACAAAGAACAGAACACAACAGAAAATAGAACAGAACAGAAAACAGAATAGAAGAGACCAGAAAAGAAAACAGAACAGAAAACATAGAACTGAGCAGGGAACAGAGAACGGAGCAGAACAGAGAACAGGGAGAACAGAACAAGGAACCGAACAGAGAACAGGACAGGGAATAGAAAGGACAACAGAACAGAGAACTTAGCAGAAAGCAGAGAACGTAACCGAACAGAACATGAAACATAGAACCGAACAGAAAACAAAACAGAGAACAGAACAGAGAACAACATATATAACGTTATTCTCCCCAAAATGACTAATTAGAATTAAATGGTGAGAATGTATTATTTACTACAAGATCTTAATTATTCAAGACGACTGATGACATCGCGTTAATGTATAAAATACTACTCCATATGTCAAGTTTATTATTTAATATCCGTTGCAGGGTGCATTCATTGCCCAAATCAAGTCAATAAATATAGGTTGGTGATGTTTAGAGAGGTAAATGAAGGATTGCGAGGCTAATTAAGCAACTAGCAAGCTTGCAAGTTGACGAGCAATGGTTGGTGGTTGTGTTGCCAAATACCACCATTGCAGCAAGCCTCTCCCACCTTATCTCACGGGAAATTTGGGCGTTTTTAAGCTAAGGTACATTCAGCCAAGGGTTAGTTTTTTAGATAAATCGTCAGAGTTATATATTGGCTACATTTGAACGTCAACAAACGAATCTGACGTTAAATGGTCGTGAGGCAGTGAGGGCGATGATAAGTCATATCTGGCAACTGTTCCTTGCCTCCCTCCCGCCCTCCGTCGTGGGCGGCCCCGCCCACTCTTTCCTCCTCCCACCCACATTTAACGTCAAATTTGGGCGTTATTGCGCTATGGTACATTCAATCAAGAGTACATAAACCATCCCTGTTCATGCACTTGCTACATTTGAAAGGTTAAGTTTAGTTCATTTATTATGCACCCCATATCCATGCTGTGGGCGGTAGTGGGTTACAGAGGCACATAATGGGTTCAGGGATTGAACCCCACAATTCATTTAGCTAAACAAGTTACAATCGATGAGTTAGTTACAAAATTCAGTATAAGTCGTCACACCAACAATGGGTTCGAGATCGACCACAAGTTCAGTTTCTAAATTAAGCAACTGACATGTGGAGAGCTAGTGTCACAATTGATGTTTCTCCTGCACACCGCCCCCCATCCAGTGGGCAGCGGTGGATAGGTTACACCGCCCCCCCCCCATCCAGTGGCAGCGGGGGGGTAGGTTATACCGCACCCCCCTTCCATCCCGTGGGCAGCGGTGGATAGGTTACAACCCCCCCCCCCCCATCGAGTGGGCAGCGGTGGATAGGTTACACCGCCCCCCATCCAGTGGGCAGCGGTGGATACGTTACACCACCCCCATCCCGTGGGCAGCGGTGGATAGGTTACACCGGCCCCCATCAAGTGC